CACACAGAGGCACACACATTCACACACACACACACACAAACACATACACTCACGCACACGCACACACACACACTCTCACGCACACACACACACACACACACACACACAGAGGCACACACACTCACACACACACACACACACACACACACAAACACATACACTCACGCACACGCACACACACACACTCTCACGCGCACACACACACACACACACTCTCACGCACACACACACACACACACACACGTTTATACTGCAATGAGACGCCAGTCGACATGGTTCACTGCAAAACAAGATTTTATTACTTAGTGTTTAGAACAAATATCGGGGACAGAAAAATAATCTTCTTTTCCTTTGAATTTAGTCTATTTTTCTGAACCTTTGAAAGATATTTGTTCTTGTTTTAAGCAGAAACTCACTTTATTTTGATGTTTTTTCATAAAACAAGACTTCATATCGTCAGTCATTTTGCTTCTCCATACTGCAAAAATTGAAATCTAAGAAAGTAAGTCTTGTTTTTTTGCCATGAAAGATAAAAAGTCTTATAAAATGCAGTGCACACTAGAATATAAATCTTAATTTAACAAAAGTGCTGTTCTTTAGTCTTGGCAAGTGAATTTCAGCTCATTTTGAGGAAGATTTGACCAGAAACAACTGACAGCTATAAAGTACAAGTTTTTGTGCATATTCGATTAGATTGTTGTGCTAATTTTAATAATTATACCACCCCTAAAAATTCTAATGTCAAGAATCTTAAAGGTCAAATATGATTGTTTTTGTTACACTGCAAAAAATGTCCTTCTTGAAACAAGCAAGATACGCTTAAATCTAAGTAAAGTACTAACGTTATTAATTTATTGGGTTGTTTTAAGAATTTTAATCTATTTTCACTTTTTCAGGTTATTGATCATCTTTACTAAATTTACTTATTATTTAGTGCTTATGAAAAGTGAAAACAGCATTTTTGTCTACTTTTAAGACCCAGTATTTTACCCAGTAAAACAACAGTATTTTTAGTGACTACATATTGATGCTATTTTCAAGAAGGCTATGACTATGAAGATGCTGATTAGACAGCATGATTATTGCACAGGTGTGCCTTAGGCTGGCCACAATAAAAGGCCACTCTAAAATGTGCAGTTTTTGCAAATATTGAAGGACTTTTATGATGTATAGATGCACTTTTATGATGGATAGATGCACTTTTATGATGGATAGATGCACTTTTATGATGGACAGATGCACTTTTATGATGGACAGATGCACTTTTATCATGGACAGATGCACTTTTATGATGGATAGATGCACTTTTATCATGGATAGATGCACTTTTATGATGGATAGATGCACTTTTATCATGGATAGATGCACTTTTATGATGGACAGATGCACTTTTATGATGGATAGATGCACTTTTATAATGGATAGATGCACTTTTATGATGGATAGATGCACTTTTATGATGGATAGATGCACTTTTATGATGTATAGATGCACTTTTATGATGGATAGATGCACTTTTATGATGGATAGATGCACTTTTATAATGGATAGATGCACTTTTATGATGGATAGATGCACTTTTATGATGGATAGATGCACTTTTATGATGTATAGATGCACTTTTATGATGGATAGATGCACTTTTATGATGGATGGATGCACTTTTATCATGGATAGATGCACTTTTATAATGGATAGATGCACTTTTATGATGGATAGATGCACTTTTATGATGGATGGATGCACTTTTATGATGGATAGATGCACTTTTATAATGGATAGATGCACTTTTATGATGGATAGATGCACTTTTATGATGGATAGATGCACTTTTATGATGGATGGATGCACTTTTATGATGGATAGATGCACTTTTATGATGGATAGATGCACTTTTATGATGGATAGATGCACTTTTATGATGGATAGATGCACTTTTATGATGAATAGATGCACTTTTATCATGGATAGATGCTCTTGATTGCATTCGTCTGAAAGAAGAGTGTCATATACACCTAGGGTTGACTTCAGGGTGAGTAAATCATGGCTAATTTAAACTTTTGGGTGAACTATCCCTTTAAGAGCATTATGTTTTGCATTGTGATATGATCCTCATGACAGTTAAACATTTACATTTAAATGTAATGCTAAAGCAGAAGAGATGTCATTCTAAGACATTGCAAAAATTCTTAATTATGTCAAACGTTTCTATCCCAAGCGACTCGTGTATCAGTTTATTCTGGGCGTGAAGCTCGTGTCGTTGGTGTTGATCTGCAGGAAATAATCATGTGTTTCTAACGGTGTTGTTTGTCTCTTGTGAAGCGGGTTCTTCTCCATGTTCTCTGACGGTGAAGACCAACACACTGAGCAGCAGCAGCATCCCGAACACTTATTACCCAGGTAACCTCTCACACACACTCTCAAACACACTCACACACACACACTGAGCAGCAGCAGCATCCCGAACACTTATTACCCAGGTAACCTCTCACACACACTCTCAAACACACTCACACACACGCTGTTCTCCTGCAGTTTCTTCATATGGACCAAAAAAACATCTCTAAATCACAGGCTTTAAACCCTGAACCACACTGATCAACTACAAACTGCTCAGAGTCACGTTCCTCCTCAGTGTTTCGGTCTCGTTTTCCAGCACAAACATCTAAACATTCTTAAATCAAGAGACATTTACTGGAGAAGAAGCAAAATGACTGAAGATATTAAGTCTTGTTTAATGAAAAAATTATGAAAATGAAGTGAGTTTGTGCTTAAAACATGGAGTCAGAAAAATAAACGTATTTTCACTTTAAATGAATGAAGTTGATTTTTCTGATTCCCTTTGGAAGATATTTTCTTTTTATATTAAATCTAAAAACAATTCAGAAATCATATTAAGTAATTTTGCTTCTTCTCCAGTAAATGTCTCTTGATTTAAGAATGTTTAGATGTTTGTGCTGGAAAACGAGACCGAAACACTGAGGAGGAACATCATGTTTTGTGCATTGCATTGAACATTGTACTTGTTTTGTAAAAGAAATTGTAATAAAAATTTTAACACAACTTAAATGCTAAAACAAATGCTGCTATAATTATGATAAAGTTACTTGTTTTTAATCTTTTTTTCCGTCTCTTCTCTTCTCAGACCCGTTCGTTCCCACCGCCATCTTAGGTGAGATCCTCGACTCTTGTGATTCAGTGATTCTGTTTTTAAAGTGTTTCCGAGGGAAGGAATGCGGTTTGCCATCATGTTTGCTTTGTTTAGTTTGTTTTGGGCTTTTCATCACACACACCTGTCTGTCGCTTCTCTTCCTTTGGGTTCCTCTTCCTCTTCACTCCATCCCATGCGCATCGCGTGCCGTGATGTCACTTCCTGTCTGACATCCCATGCGCATCGCGTGCCGTGATGTCACTTCCTGTCTGACATCTCATGTGCATGGACAGACGTGTGGACTGGATGTGGGGGAGTGGATGATGCTGTCCACACACACACACACACACACACACACACACACACACACACACACACACACACACACACACACACACGCGAGCGATTCATGGATTCTGGATTCATCCCCTCAGTTCAATCAAGTAATGCTGATGAAAACAGATCACTGCAAAAACAAACCAAAAAATTATTTCTTCCTCAACATTTTTGTCTAAACATTCTTATATCAAGATACATTTACTTGAGATGCAAAATGACTGAAGATATTATGAAAAAGGCATCAAAATTAACCCTCCGGTCATTTTTAACAGAAACGTTTTGCATTTTGTTTTCTGAACGGTACGAGACTTGATGAAGGCTTCGGCTCTTGCTGTGTGAACACAAAACAAATCACGGGAATTATTGGAAAAGTTTAAACGGTCCTGAAAAACGGCCACACTTGTATTGTTCGTGGTCAAAAATGAGCGCATTGAAAATGAATGGAAAGCAAATTTCATCTAGAATATTTTTATTATTTTTAATATTTAATATACTTTTATTATTTATTTAAATTTTAATTAATATTTTGATTTTAAATATTATATATATTTTTTCTATTTTTATAACTTAATATTAATAAATAAATAATGATATTGGTGATAAATATTTTTTATTTTATATATATGTATGTAATTTTGATGCATTTTTTCATTAAACAAGTCTTAATATCTTCAGTCATTTTGCTTCTTCTCCAGTAAATGTCTCTTGATTTAAGAATGTTTAGATGTTTGTGCTGGAAAGCGAGACAGAAACACTGAGGAGGAACATTGTTTTAGTTTAACAACAGTTTTTCGGGTTTATCATAGGCCTGATGATGAGGATGATGATGATCTGATGAAGAGGGTTTGGATGTAAGGTCAGGACTCGGGTCAGAGAGGTTCAGCTGATGCTCTTCTGTGTACATGTGCAGAAGAAGCCGATGTGTTTGTGTAGTTCTCGGTTCACTGCTTCCACTCCAGTGTTTCTTTGCTGAAGTGTCTCTTCTGTTATTCTCTCTAATGTTTCTTCTGCCTTTAGCGGCTCCTTCCGACCTACTTGTTTTTCTTTCTCGGCTGTTTACTCGTTTACTCTATGATAAAATAGAATAATAAAGCAGGTTTTGTCTCATTTTCGTGCCACCTCTACACCCTATTTATCTAAAGCGCTGGCGCCCCAGAGTCGGCCCTCGCGAGGCCCCAGAGTTTAATTCAGGCATAATGTGATGAAAAATAAGAGCTCAGAGCGGCGTATTAAATATGAATGACTCTCGACTAACAGCACGTGTAAACGATCGCTCGAGCGGGAACAGGTTTACATGACACAATAAAACAGGGGAAAGGAAGGAAAGCTTCACCTCCGGCACAGAAGGGTTTATGGAGCGACTCGGATGAGCCGATGTTCAACAACACCAGAGCGACGCTTCAGCGCTTCTCAGCCCGTCTCAGTCCGTCTCAGCCCGTCTCAGCCCGTCTCAGTCCGTCTCAGCCCGTCTCAGCCCGTCTCAGCCCGTCTCAGCCCGTCTCAGTCCGTCTCAGTCCGTCTCAGTCCGTCTCAGCCCGTCTCAGTCCGTCTCAGCCCGTCTCAGTCCGTCTCAGCCCGTCTCAGCCCGTCTCAGCCCGTCTCAGCCCGTCTCAGCCCGTCTCAGCCCGTCTCAGCCCGTCTCAGCCCGTCTCAGCCCGTCTCAGCCCGTCTCAGTCCGTCTCAGCCCGTCTCAGCCCGTCTCAGCCCGTCTCAGCCCGTCTCAGTCCGTCTCAGCCCGTCTCAGCCCGTCTCAGCCCGTCTCAGTCCGTCTCAGCCCGTCTCAGTCCGTCTCAGCCCGTCTCAGCCCGTCTCAGCCCGTCTCAGTCCGTCTCAGCCCGTCTCAGCGCTTCTCAGCCCGTCTCAGCCCGTCTCAGTCCGTCTCAGCCCGTCTCAGCCCGTCTCAGCCCGTCTCAGCCCGTCTCAGCCCGTCTCAGTCCGTCACAGCCCGTCTCAGCCCGTCTCAGCCCGTCTCAGCCCGTCTCAGCCCGTCTCAGCCCGTCTCAGTCCGTCACAGCCCGTCTCAGTCCGTCTCAGTCCGTCACAGCCCGTCTCAGTCCGTCTCAGCCCGTCTCAGCCCGTCTCAGCCCGTCTCAGCCCGTCTCAGCCCGTCTCAGCCCGTCTCAGTCCGTCACAGCCCGTCTCAGTCCGTCTCAGTCCGTCACAGCCCGTCTCAGTCCGTCTCAGCCCGTCTCAGCCCGTCTCAGCCCGTCTCAGTCCGTCTCAGCCCGTCTCAGCGCTTCTCAGCCCGTCTCAGCCCGTCTCAGCCCGTCTCAGCCCGTCTCAGCCCGTCTCAGTCCGTCTCAGCCCGTCTCAGCCCGTCTCAGCCCGTCTCAGTCCGTCTCAGCCCGTCTCAGCCCGTCTCAGCCCGTCTCAGCCCGTCTCAGCCCGTCTCAGCCCGTCTCAGCCCGTCTCAGTCCGTCACAGCCCGTCTCAGTCCGTCTCAGTCCGTCTCAGCCCGTCTCAGCCCGTCTCAGACCGTCACAGCCCGTCTCAGTCCGTCTCAGACTGAGACGGACTGACGGACCTTTTAAAAGTTAATATTAGTAAATAATACATTTTAAATTGGTTTATTTAATAAATAAATAATTTATATTTTATAATGCTTTTAATTTTGAATTGAACGCATTTATGCATTATGTCTATTTTTCTAAATTATAATAAATACAATTTATATTTTATTTATTATAACTTTAATGCATTTATTATATTTCTGTTTTTCTATTTTCATTATTTTTATCCTTTTTATTTATTAATTATTATAATTCATACCTTTTTTATAATTATTTTAATTATAATTTCAAATTATTTATGATATTTTGAACTACAACTACATTTATTGTATTTCCCAAGCCAGTAATTCACTGCACAAACACACAGAGTTCAGCACAGATCATGTTCCATTTTCATCTTTATTATTTTTGAGGTTGAGGTTAATTTGACAGCGTTCGTGACCTTTGACCTTAACAACTCAATCGATGTCGTGTGAGGCACGCCGCTGCTCTGCAGATCTCCATGAAGCGATGTTAATGTTCATCATCTTACCAGTTTTATTTGCATTTCTCTCTTTTTTCTGGTTTATTTGAAATTCATTTTTCTCCTTCATTGTGATTTGAGTCCCATAACACCCCGAACGCCCTCGACTGATCAGAGCTCGTTCTCTTTGGTGTATTGTTGCTTATACCCTGTCTCCTTTCTCTCTCTCCCTCTCTCTCTCTCTCTCCTCACACTCTCTCTCTCTCTCTCTCTTCTCACGTTTACCTCTAATGTATCTGCTTAAAAAGTCCCCATTACTGGTAAGTTCATGAGCGTGACAGAGCTTGTGTGTTTCTCCCTGAGCTGCATGGACGTAGACACGCGTTACAGCGTCACCCGTCCTCCCCATGTGTGTGTGTGTGTGTGTGTGTGTGTGTGTTCGCCATCGTGCTTCTGCTTTCTTTGCTTTGGGTTGTTGTGATTCGCCCGTGTGGCTTTTGATCATCCGTCATCGCTCATTCCACTCATGCTTTGCTGTTGATTGACAGCACCCATACACTGCCATGGACTAGTGAATCTCAGCAGATCTCAGATCAGGGCCGAACAGGGACACAGGCCGATTTTAGCCGTGTTTCAGTGAAATTATACAGGAACGATGCACGTGATATTTCACGAACGAATGGACGAACGGGGCAGTCAATCGATCCCTCCCTCCACATCCACTCATCCACCCCTTCCTGCAACGTCGTGTCATGATCCATCCATTGCCAATGAATGGGAAATCGATCAAGCGCTTTCTTTTACACTGACTGAGAGCATGGAAAATAGAGATGATTAAGGCAAGACGCTACAAGTACAAACACTGCTTTAATGCATATATTAGTGGAAAGAAAACCTCCAAAATACTTTATCTTGCAAGTAAAGAAATTCATAAAGTGAAATTGAAATTTTATTAGCCACTATATCAAATAAATGCATAGGGTTGTGTTTATTCTCTTCTAAGATACTTGAAACATAAGCAGATCTAGCCGTTTTTAAGGCCTTTTTGTTTGCAATATTACTATCCTTCCACGAAATGCGAAATACCTCTAGTTTTTAAATCCAAAATCTCTTTTGGAAAAACTAATAATATGTCAACAAAATCAAACATGAACCTTGCTTTATCCACTGCTCAGATTTCTGTTCTGGAAATGTATGCAAATTAGTGCATATTTAATTAGATATGACCTCATTTGCATATTCAAAATGACATTTCAGAAAACGTGCAATCTGCAATTCTCAAAGTAATTAATCAGCTGTGGAAGTATGGTGATATCTATTAGTTAAAATTTTGATTCATTAATTACTTATATTACTTATTCACCTGAGGTCTTGCCTTAATTATTCAAAATGTGAGTTTTGTCATTATTTATTTGCTCTCATGTTGTTCCAACCCTGTAAGCTGTTGTTTTTCTGTTACTTTTCTGCATTTTCAGTGAATAACGGCTTAAATTTCAGTCTCTTTCAGTTACATTTTTTGCTAAAATATAGTTAACTAAAACTAAAACCATAAAACAAACATTAACTGAAAAATTAAGTATAAAAAACATTATATATTTTTTGCAATTTTATAACTTAATATAATAATAAGATAATAAATAATATTATTTATATATATTATAAAATATATAATATTATTTTTCATTTATTCATCCATTTATTTATTTATTTGATTATTTATTATAATTTTTAACATTTTTATTTTATAATTTCTATTTATTTATTCTTATTAATTATTTAGTTATTATTTATTATATTTTTAATTATACTTTAATTTAGAATTTAATGCACTTATTATTTGTCTGTTTTTTCTATTTAGATTTTTTTTTTTTTTTTACAAAAACATATTCGCCAAGGCAACATTTCTCATTTGTATACAGTTTAGCTTGATGTACTAAAATAACTAAAAATGAACAAAAACTGTATAGACATGACATACAATGAAAAAAAATAATAATTAATGGAACATATAAAAATAGAAAACAACTCAAAATATTAATAAAAACTATAATAGTATCTCAATGATATTAAAAGAACGCTGGTCAACAAAGATTAATAAATGCATTAGAAGTAGGGATGTAACGATTCACTCATCTCACGATGCGATACGATTCACGATACTGGTTTCACGATACGATTTTCTCACGATTTTTTTAACAAATGCGATTTAAGACAAAAGTGTCCGTTTTATTATTTCTCAGACAAAATGCTGCACATTTCTTTTTAATTTAAAATATATTTGTCAAATAATAAAACTACATTAAAAAAATTCCCTTCAAGGTTGTTTCAACTCAGTCTTTCTGTCTGTTTGGTCAAGAGGCTGGACACTGGTACCTTCGCACACTATGTAAAAGACTGTGTAAAATTAGTAGTACCAGATTGACAGGGGTTTTACATTGTAATAAAGGCAAGATTCTAATTTTGTTATAATTTGTATCATTACACTAGTAAGAGTAAAAAAAAAACACATTTAGAGAAAGAGATAGTAAAATAAATACAACACCTGGTTGCCACGGAAACACTGATGCACCTTGTGATCTCCGTGGCTCTCGCAATTGTAGTATTAATGACTTTTACATGAAAACGGAGGTGACTGGTGTTACTCACGGTGGTGATTATTATTAGTCTACGGAAAGTCAAAATGCCGCCACACCTCCGATTTGAATGAGTCAACGTCAACATCTACGCTTGCCGTCGCCAAAGCCATGTCTACTGTTTGACGGCACGTGCACACCAGTCTATGGCACACACTGGTGCGGCGCGAGCGGAGCAAACCGAGCGTTTTCAGTTCATTCCTATGGAAGTTGAGCTTGGCTCACACAAGATCAAGTTCCATGAATGAAGTGAAAACACTCGCTAGCTTCACGCCAGTGTGTGCTCGCTGCTATTGTGCTATTGTAAAGCGAGGTTCACAACTTCACAGTAGGCTATAGTAAACGCGCCCTGCTGTTTAAAACGTGTATCGCGATTCGTTTAACATTTCAACCGACTTGAATCGTCACACATTTTTATCGATTTTCAACCGGTTGCGAGTGAATCGTTACATCCCTAATTAGAAGTATTTAGTTCATGTTAACAAACAATTGTAAAGTCTTCCCAGAAACACAGTGTGCAGGTTTGGAATAAACGATGCATTTTCATTGTTTTTCTGAATTATTTCTTTATTTGAAGACTACTCGTTTAAATTCATTAGGACACGTGTGTGTGTTCCTGCAGTCACTGTAAAGGGAAGTGTGAGCGAGTGTGTTCTCAGCTCTTCAGCGTGTGTGTTTTCTGTCTTGTGTTGCAGACGAGACTCAAACCCTGACCAGTGACACCAGCAGCCTGGTGCAGTCGCACACACACACACACTCGTCGCACACACACTCTCTGCGCAAGCGTGAGGCCGTGGACGTGCCGTATCAGACGGCTCAGCTTCATCCCGCCATCCGTGTGGCCGACCTCCTGCAACACATCACACAGATGAAGTGTGCCGAGGGCTACGGCTTCAAGGAGGAGTACGAGGTGAGACCAGCTATCCCAGCATGCACTGCGGCACACACACACTCTTCTATACTGATGTGAGACCTCAGCTATCCCAGCATGCACTGCGGCACACACACGTGTGCTTCTACACTGATGTGGGACCAGCTATCCCAGCATGCACTGCGGCACACACACACTCTTCTATACTGATGTGAGACCTCAGCTATCCCAGCATGCACTGCGGCACACACACGCGTGCTTCTACACTGATGTGGGACCAGCTATCCCAGCATGCACTGCGGCACACACACCCTCTTCTATACTGATGTGAGACCTCAGCTATCCCAGCATGCAATGCGGCACACACTCACACACACTCGAGCGCACGCTTTTACACTGATGTGAGATCTCAGCTATCCCAGCATGCACTCAGAGTGAGTGAGTGAGTGAGTGAGTGAGTGAGTGAGTGAGTGAGTGAGTGTGTGAGTGAGTGAGTGAGTGAGTGAGTGAGTGAGTGAGTGAGTGAGTGAGTGAGTGAGTGAGTGAGTGAGTGAGTGAGTGAGTGAGTGAGTCTGAGTGAGAGAGTGAGAGAGTGAGTGAGTGAGTGAGTGAGTGAGTGAGTGAGTGAGTCTGAGTGTGAGTAAGTGAGTGAGAGAGTCAGTGAGTGAGAGAGTGAGTGAGTCTGAGTGTGAGTAAGTGAGTGAGAGAGTCAGTGAGTGAGAGAGTGAGTGAGTGAGTGTGAGTAAGTGAGTGAGAGAGTCAGTGAGTGAGTGAGTGTGAGTGAGTGAGTGTGAGTGAGTGAGTGAGTGAGTGTGTGAGTGAGAGTGAGTGAGTGAGTGAGTCTGAGTGTGAGTGAGTGAGTCTGAGTGTGAGTGAGTGAGTGAGTGTAAGAGTGTGAGTGAGTGAGTCTGAGTCTGAGAGTGAGTGAGTGAGTGAGTGAGTGAGAGAGTCAGTGAGTGAGTGAGTGAGTGAGTGAGTCTGAGTGTGAGTGAGTGAGTGAGTGAGTGAGTGAGTGAGTGAGTGAGAGAGTCAGTGAGTTAGTGAGTGAGTGAGTGAGTGAGTGAGTCAGTGAGTGAGTGAGAGAGTCAGTCAGTTAGTTAGTGAGTGAGTGAGTGAGTGAGTGAGTGAGTGAGTGAGTGAGTGAGTGAGTGAGTGAGTGAGAGTGTGTGAGAGAGTGAGTGAGTGTGTGAGAGTGAGTGAGTGAGTCTGAGTGTGAGTGTGAGTGAGATTGAGTGAGTGAGTGAGTGAGTGAGTGAGTTAGTCAGTGAGTGAGTGAGTGAGTGAGTGAGTGAGTGAGTGAGTGAGTGAGTGAGTGAGTGAGTGAGTGAGTTAGTCAGTGAGTGAGTGAGTGAGTGAGTGAGTGAGCGAGCGAGTGAGTGAGTGAGTTAGTCAGTGAGTGAGTGAGTGAGTGAGTGAGTGAGTGAGTGAGAGTGAGTGAGTGAGTGAGTCTGAGTGTGAGTGAGTGAGTGAGTGAGTGAGTGAGTGAGTGAGAGAGTCAGTGAGTTAGTGAGTGAGTGAGTGAGTGAGTGAGTGTGAGTGAGTGAGTGAGTGAGTGTGTGAGTGAGAGTGAGTGAGTGAGTGAGTGAGTCTGAGTGTGAGTGAGTGAGTGAGTGAGTGAGTGAGTGAGTGAGTGAGTGAGTGAGTGAGTGAGAGAGTCAGTGAGTTAGTGAGTGAGTGAGTTAGTGAGTGAGTGAGTGAGTGAGTGAGTGAGTGAGTGAGTGAGTGAGAGTGAGTGTGTGAGAGAGTGAGTGAGTGTATGAGAGTGAGTGAGTGAGTCTGAGTGTGAGTGTGAGTGAGATTGAGTGAGTGAGTGAGTGAGTGACTTAGTCAGTGAGTGTGTGTGTGAGAGAGTGTGTGAGTGAGTGAGTGAGTGAGTTAGTCAGTGAGTGAGTGAGTGAGTGAGTGAGTTAGTCAGTGAGTGAGTGAGTGAGTGAGTGAGTGTGTGAGTGAGTTAGTCAGTCAGTGAGTGAGTGAGTGAGTGAGTGAGTGAGTGAGTGAGTGAGTGAGTGAGTGAGTTAGTCAGTGAGTGAGTGAATGAGTTAGTCAGTGAGTGAGTGAGTGAGTGAGTGAGTGAGTGAGTGAGTCAGTGAGTGAGTGAGTTAGTCAGTGAGTGAGTGAGTGAGTGAGTGAGTGAGTGAGTGAGTGAGTGAGTGAGCGAGCGAGTGAGTGAGTGAGTTAGTCAGTGAGTGAGTGAGTGAGTGAGTGAGTGAGTGAGTGAGTGTGTGAGTGAGTGAGTGAGTCTGAGTGTGAGTGAGTGAGTGAGTGAGTGAGAGAGTCAGTGAGTTAGTGAGTGAGTGAGTGAGTGAGTGAGTGAGTGAGTGAGAGTGAGTGTGTGAGAGAGTGAGTGAGTGTGTGAGAGTGAGTGAGTGAGTCTGAGTGTGAGTGTGAGTGAGATTGAGTGAGTGAGTGAGTGAGTGAGTGAGTGAGATTGAGTGAGTGAGTTAGTCAGTGAGTGTGTGTGTGTGTGAGAGAGAGTGTGTGTGTGAGTGAGTGAGTGAGTGAGTGAGTGAGTGAGTGAGTTAGTCAGTGAGTGAGTGAGTGAGTGAGTGAGTGAGTGAGTGAGTGAGTGAGTGAGTTAGTGAGTGTGTGAGTGAGTGAGTGAGTGAGTGAGTGAGTGAGTGAGTGAGTTAGTCAGTGAGTGAGTGAGTGAGTGAGTGAGTTAGTCAGTGAGTGAGTGAGTGAGTGAGTGAGTGAGTGAGTTAGTCAGTGAGTGAGTGAGTGAGTGAGTGTGTGAGTGAGTTAGTCAGTGAGTGAGTGAGTGAGTTAGTCAGTGAGTGAGTGAGTGAGTGAGTGAGTGAGTGAGTGAGTGAGTGAGTGAGTGAGTGTGTGAGTGAGTGAGTGAGTGAGTGAGTGAGTGAGTGAGTGAGTGAGTGAGTGAGTTAGTCAGTGAGTGAGTGAGTGAGTGAGTGAGTTAGTCAGTGAGTGAGTGAGTGAGTGAGTGAGTGAGTGAGTGAGTGAGTGAGTGAGCGAGCGAGCGAGTGAGTGAGTTAGTCAGTGAGTGAGTGAGTGAGTGAGTGAGAGTGAGTGAGTGAGTGAGTGAGTGAGTGAGTGTGTGAGTGAGTGAGTGAGTGAGTGAGTGAGTGAGTGAGTGAGTGAGTTAGTCAGTGAGTGAGTGAGTGAGTGAGTGAGTTAGTCAGTGAGTGAGTGAGTGAGTGAGTGAGTGAGTGAGTGAGTGAGTGAGTGAGTGAGCGAGCGAGCGAGTGAGTGTGAGTGAGTGAGTGAGTGAGTGTGTGAGTGAGAGTGAGTGAGTGAGTGAGTGAGTCTGAGTGTGAGTGAGTGAGTGAGTGAGTGAGTGAGTGAGTGAGTGAGTGAGTGAGTGAGAGAGTCAGTGAGTTAGTGAGTGAGTGAGTTAGTGAGTTAGTGAGTGAGTGAGTGAGTGAGTGAGTGAGTGAGTGAGTGAGTGAGTGAGTGAGTGAGTGAGTGAGAGTGAGTGTGTGAGAGAGTGAGTGAGTGTATGAGAGTGAGTGAGTGAGTCTGAGTGTGAGTGTGAGTGAGATTGAGTGAGTGAGTGAGTGAGTGAGTTAGTCAGTGAGTGTGTGAGTGAGTGAGTGAGTGAGTTAGTCAGTGAGTGAGTGAGTGTGTGTGTGAGAGAGTGAGTGAGTGAGTGAGTGAGTGAGAGTGAGTGAGTGAGTGAGTGAGTCTGAGTGTGAGTGAGTGAGTGAGTGAGTGAGTGAGTGAGAGAGTCAGTGAGTTAGTGAGTGAGTGAGTGAGTGAGTGAGTGAGTGAGTGTGAGTGAGTGAGTGAGTGAGTGTGTGAGTGAGAGTGAGTGAGTGAGTGAGTGAGTCTGAGTGTGAGTGAGTGAGTGAGTGAGTGAGTGAGTGAGTGAGAGAGTCAGTGAGTTAGTGAGTGAGTGAGTTAGTGAGTGAGTGAGTGAGTGAGTGAGTGAGTGAGTGAGTGAGTGAGAGAGTCAGTGAGTTAGTGAGTGAGTGAGTTAGTGAGTGAGTGAGTGAGTGAGTGAGTGAGTGAGTGAGTGAGTGAGTGAGAGTGAGTGTGTGAGAGAGTGAGTGAGTGTATGAGAGTGAGTGAGTGAGTCTGAGTGTGAGTGTGAGTGAGATTGAGTGAGTGAGTGAGTGAGTGAGTTAGTCAGTGAGTGTGTGTGTGTGAGAGAGTGTGTGAGTGAGTGAGTGAGTGAGTTAGTCAGTGAGTGAGTGAGTGAGTGAGTGAGTTAGTCAGTGAGTGAGTGAGTGAGTGAGTGAGTGTGTGAGTGAGTTAGTCAGTCAGTGAGTGAGTGAGTGAGTGAGTGAGTGAGTGAGTGAGTGAGTTAGTCAGTGAGTGAGTGAGTGAGTTAGTCAGTGAGTGAGTGAGTGAGTGAGTGAGTGAGTGAGTCAGTGAGTGAGTGAGTTAGTCAGTGAGTGAGTGAGTGAGTGAGTGAGTGAGTGAGTGAGCGAGCGAGTGAGTGAGTGAGTTAGTCAGTGAGTGAGTGAGTGAGTGAGTGAGTTTGAGTGTGAGTGAGTGAGTGAGTGAGTGAGAGAGTCAGTGAGTTAGTGAGTGAGTGAGTGAGTGAGTGAGTGAGTGAGTGAGTGAGTGAGTGAGTGAGTGAGAGTGAGTGTGTGAGAGAGTGAGTGAGTGTGTGAGAGTGAGTGAGTGAGTCTGAGTGTGAGTGAGATTGAGTGAGTGAGTGAGTGAGTGAGTGAGATTGAGTGAGTGAGTTAGTCAGTGAGTGTGTGTGTGTGTGTGAGAGAGTGTGTGAGTGAGTGAGTGAGTGAGTGAGTGAGTGAGTTAGTCAGTGAGTGAGTGAGTGAGTGAGTGTGTGAGTGAGTGAGTTAGTCAGTGAGTGAGTGAGTGAGTTAGTCAGTGAGTGAGTGAGTGAGTGAGTGAGTGAGTGAGTGAGTGAGTGAGTTAGTCAGTGAGTGAGTGAGTGAGTGAGTGAGTGAGTGTGTGAGTGAGTGAGTGAGTGAGTGAGTGAGTGAGTGAGTTAGTCAGTGAGTGAGTGAGTGAGTGAGTGAGTGAGTGAGTGAGTTAGTCAGTGAGTGAGTGAGTGAGTGAGTGAGTGAGTGAGTGAGTGAGTGAGTGAGCGAGCGAGCGAGTGAGTGAGTGAG